ATAAACCTTGCTGATTGAACCTGCACAGTCTCCAGGAGTTCCTTGGGCTAGGCCTGACACTATATCTCTTTCTCTGAAACTGGTCATTTTATTCCTCAGTGTTATCTATTGTTTCTGTTCTGTTGAAAACAATGTTTATGCTTCATTCATAGTCAATGGGAGGAATAATTTTGTCAAATTGAACCCCAAATTCAAGTAGTTAGACTCTGAACTGGTTTGTTTTGCAAATAATGATTATACTGACTTCATATTCATCAAGTAGATGTTTTGCTGGTTATTGCTTTCTAACCATTCATTCATTCATACATATACAGGTAGTCCTCGGGTTACAACAGCAGTTGGTATTGGGATTGCCATTGCTAAGCAATGTGGTCATAAAGCACTCTGTCACATGACTGCATCACTTAGTGATGGCAATCCTGGTTGCCACTGTAACCCAAGGGCTCATGGGTTGTTAAGCGGGAAGAGGCAGGAATCCTAGGTAAGGAGTGTGGGGAGGTTCACAGGTGCCATGTGGGCGTGCATGTGTGTGTGTGGGCCGGTGGAGGCTGTAGGAGGGCTGGTGGAGGCCATGGGAGGCCTGGTGGAGGCCTCGGGTAGGCCGGCAGAGGGGTGCTTTGGGGCAGGCGCACAACAGAGTGTGGGCAGGCGGGGGGTGTGGGTGGGTGCACAATGGAGTGTGGGCAGGCAGGGGGTGATCACACTCTGTAGGGAGAAAAAGCAGTGGGAATGATTTACTGGAGTGACTTGCGACCTTCCCTGCCAGCTTCCCCATTGACCTTGCTTGTGGGAAGCCAACAGGGAAGGTAACAAATGGCAATAATGTAATGTGGCTTGCTGCAGCGTTGTAATCACAAGCCAGGCACCCAAGCACCTGGATCATGATCATGTGACTGCAGGGAAGCTACAATGTCCAGAACTTTGAGGACTGTCATAAGTCCATTTTTCCTGCACTGCTGTAACTTTGAACAGTGGCTGAATGAATGGACATAAACTGAGGACTACCTGTAGTGTCAAAATGAGTCAGGGTTGTCAATATAAATGTTATTTAAAAAGTATTGTGAAGGTTCAAAATAATATTAAAGGATGCTAGATTGAGAGGGCATGAATAAATAAGCATAATATCAGTAAAGATTGCTTCAATCTCTTCCACTTGTTTACAGCTCTACTGTACTTACTGATGCCCAATATATTAAATAACATCACAATAATAACAAAACAGCAATAATAACAACACTTCTTTCTCTCCCTGTAAGCCCAAATGTTAATTCCTGCCCCTTGAAATATCTGCATTTCACATAAAGCCTCATTTCTACACTCTGAAATTTCTTACTTTCCGTAATTTCATTACGTGTCTTGCTTTTTCCCAGCTGTAAGCCGCCTGACACATTCTATTTTTTGGTTTGTAAATTGCTTTACAAATTAAAGCAAAGATTGTAGAATAATGTTTTTAAGGGCAGGAGTTAATGTATAGAATACGTATAACGTTCAATGTACCTTTAAAGTCTTGACAGTCAAACACTAACAGCAAATAAATAATAAAATAAATAGGGAGGATATATTACTACATAAGCCAGGGGTCTGTACCCTAATTTTAAAGGATGAGTTCTAGGATGTAGTTGAAAAATCAGGTACTAATGATGCAGACAACGCATGTACTTTATGCCAAAGAAACACAAACAGTATACAGAAAATATGATTTGTAGTGCTGTAGGTCAACCTTTGGCAACTAGGTCTTTCTAAATCTATCTTGTAGCCCAACTCATTCAGAAGGCAGTAGGTTGGGGAAGGTTGCCATAAGGAAGATAGTTATGATCCCACAGAATCAATCCAAGAGTTTTATCTATTTACATGTAATATGCAGCAAAAGCAGGCAAAGTCAATGACCTGGCAATTCAGCTTTTCACAGAAGTAGCCTTATTTGATTTTCAAAGATGAATTAAAATGAACGTACTTTTAATAGTAATGTAAGCTGCTTTTTCTGTTCTTCAAGTCTGAGGTTTGCTAATTTCCAGCGCTCTTGGATTTCTGTAAGTTCCTTCTGTAGAGATGCTTCTGTCTCACCATCAGCACAGAGTAACAGCTGTTTTCCACCTTCCACTGTTAAAATGTAGCTCCCTTGTTGACGAAGAAGCACTTTCTCTTTGAGCTGGGAAGACCAATGACATTCCAGAAATGTTACTCTACGTAATACTGACAGATGGGCCAGTCAGTAGTATCCTAAATCATAGGATTAGTATTTTTTCCCCAAGGAGGATTTTTAAGCTTTGCAATAATCACTTCTGTATGAAAGTAAAGGCATGTAGTATAATGAAACTTTTCAGCAAGTATCTCATCTGCTGTTACTGTGCGTATTTTTCCTCTTTTGTTCCTTTCCTTTCTTTTCTTCCTCTCCTGCTTACGAACTCTTCCCTACTATTTTTTGTAATTTCCCCAGTATCTTCTCTTTATTTTCTGGCTTTCTCCCTACACATGTTCAGCAATACTTCAAATAATGAGAAGAAGATTAAATTTCAAACTTATAATGAAATGTGTCAACGTAATAAGTGTAAAATAACTGAAAATCCATATCCTGCTTCATAATGCTTAATAATACCTGACAGCTTCCTCTTTGCAAAGCAGTTTGATAGTATCTCGAGAAAAAAGCCAGACAGGAGAAATACATATTTGTATGAAATGGTAGAGATGCCTAAAGCAAGAAAAGTCCCAATGATAGCATAGCTTTTATGAATAATTCTTAGGAATTATTCATGGTCCTAAGCAATTCATATTATTTGCCCAGTATGACAAAGTTTGAAAGATAATCTTTCAGAATATATATAAGCACAGTGTCCAGGAAATATTAAATAAAATCTTCCTCGAGGTATCTACAATGGACATGTCTATGTTATTCCCTTGCAACAATACAGAAGTGGTTTGCTATTGCCTTCTTTTGCAGGTTTTTTTTGGGGGGGGTGGGGGGTGGGAGGGCTTCCCGGCCTAGTCTTGGGATTTCCTCATGTTCTTCCATCCACTAAATAAGGTCTGATCCTGCATGGCTCTTTTCCAAGGCGGTTCAGCAGGTCACAAATGGTGCTCTGCCTTCTAAATACATGTTCTTTGGATCCTGACAAGTTTCTAGAGCTTTAAAAGCAGAGAAAAGGGACTGATTCCTTGTAAGACCAAAGGAGACTACGAAGTCTGATGGAGAAAGAAATTTCTTACTTCTGTCAGGATACATACATCAAGGGGAGGCTTATTCCACAAAGTAGATTTGACACCAGTTGTTAAAGAGAGACAAATACCTAATTCCACTACTACTCTACCTTTAAGGGTGGTACATGTTCAGCCATGCAAAGCACAATATCAGAGTGGCCCATGTTAAACTATTAGTTGGAAGTCCAAGAGCCTCTTCTGACATTATGCCAAGACAAGATAAGTAATTTCCGGTAATGAGGGCTAACCTTTATTAGAAATTTATTATTTCTTTTCTTAAACACAGAACGCACAAGTAACAGTATCCCCAATCTGTATGTATACCAAAAAGGCAAGATGGGAGATGCAGTACTCTGATGCACCTCCCACCAATGCCATATGTATGTGTAACACCAACACATGTACAAGAAGGACAGGGCTTTCATAATGATGCCTTTTTCAACCCTCTCCCTGACGCCACTGGGCACAAGGAATGCCACAGGACGTAGGAACACCTAGCGGAACCTGGCTGATCCCTAAAAGCTAAGCAGAGTCAGACTTGGTTATTTGCATGGTAAAGCACTGGGAAATCCTTGGGCTGTAGGCTAGATTGAGAGGTTGAAAAGAATAACTGGAAGAAGGCAATAGCAAACCCTTTCCTTACTGTTCCAAGAAAAATACACAAGCATATTATGTGGGCATTAAGAGTCAAGCTCCACTGAGAAAGTCTTTACTTTGCTTAATAATTGCAGTTATTTCCTGAGTAAATAAGTACAGTGAAATACCTAATTCTTTCTATTAAATGCTACCAGAATCTGTTTAGGTTGAAAATGGCCTGCCAATAGTTACCTGCATTTCATCCAACAGGGCTCTAGCTCTCTGCAGTGGGATAGGAACACTGCCCAGCCCACTTACTGACTGACAAGTCACTTCCACCAACCACTTGCGTAGTTTCTCTGCCATCTCTCTGTATCGTTGCCACTGGCGAATCTGACTGTCAATGATGCCCCTCCTCTGCTGGGCTCTACGAATTACTCCTTGCCACTGATTACTGAGCAATGCCAGTTTCAAATTAAATTCATCCCTAAAAGAAGGAAAGACACAAAATATAGTTTAGTATAGAGATAAGATCAGCCAAACAAAATCAGCCAGAGTGGCTAACAACCTTGATGAACTGATTTCTATTACTGTATTGCCCAGCATTTGGTTGTTCCATGTTCCCTTTGAAACAGTCCCACTGAGAATTTCTAAAATTAATTTTGTAATACTCAGATGGAAGGTTTGCCATAGTTTCCAAGCAGGTGCAAAGAGCATTTATAATTTGCTGTTCAGCTAACTAATGTGGACAACCCAATCCATAAAGCAATAATTAAAAAAGGAATCTTTTGATAAAACAACGTGCTAATGTTTTATGTGTTAATCTGCTAAAAATTAGCTTTTTGTGCTAATTCAACAATGCATAGAAATCTTTGTATACATCAGTGATCTGAATTAAAGAGCGAGTTGAACATATATTTCTTTCTGTGCTCCCTACCATATTCAGAACTAAAGCCAGAATAACAGTAAATTCCTAATGCATAGTTGTTTTATCAGATACAATCAGATTGTATGAGAGTTCAAGAGCTCTGCTTGTACTTGTACAAAATGTTCATGGTGCCTATGTACAACCTGCCCCTACTATTTCCAAAAGCCTTACAAATTCATACTACCCATAGCAGGAAATTGAAAGCAGCCTCACCAGGCTTTTTAGCTTTGTGAATCTTCACGTTAGGGAATTTCTCTCTATATATATTGGAACCAACTGTGGGGTGGGGTAGGGCTTAGTATACCTGCCTGCAGCTGGTTATCACGAGGTCTGGGATCTGGTGGCTTGTTGGGGAAACTGGAGAACTTTGAATCTGGTAGATGCTACAGCTATTGAACACACAGGTAGGGAACACAGCTTCCTCTTGTAAGACTATCAGTGTGGAACGGAGCGAGATCTACACCTCTGTAATTTTGCATATTTATAAATAGCTGCTGGGAATATATATATATTTTTTCAGCTGGAGGACAAGCACCTCTAATCCATCCAAGCATTACTGATCTAATTCCAGGTGTTTAGGGTTGGGAGTGGAGCAAAATCTTCCATATAATATACCTGTTTTATCTCTGCATTACTCCTTCCATAACTTATAGAGATTCATTTTCAATCATTAAAATGAGATCCTCCAGGACCCCCAAAACTCACTATTTTTCCTCTGGGGATCTGATATCAATAGCAACACTATTAAATTGTTAGAACTGAATGCCTATAATTAATAGTGATTAAGGCTAACTAATAGCCTTAATTTCTGACATTAATATGTCAGTGTCACTCCGCAGTGAGATGGGTGGTGACAAATTTGAAATATAAATATAAATAAATAAAAATTAATATTGCATTTTTGCTAGTGTGAGTAATTTTTTCCAGGGAATTCATTGGAATTTTTTTCACTTTTTTTGTGCCGAAAACAGTACTGCTAATACAAATTCTTATGTACAAAATAAGGGAAACAAAGAACAACAGCTACAGCTAAAATCCATATTGACTGGAGGTGAAAACACGGAATATATGATAGAAAGCAAGTGTAATATTAATGATAACAGTCACGTAAAGTAGAAACTCACCTATAATAATCCATCATTATAATGTGCTGATGGTTTGGGGTGAGTAAATGCATATTATATAAAGAATTTCAGAAAGGCAAAGCTTTCCAACATACAACAGATGGAACATCAGAATGTTTTACAATGTACATCCTTACCTGTCATCTACCTGCCCTTGCTCAAGAAGGTTCTGGCCATCCATGATTATGGAATGTAAAATCTGTTGGCGACTAAACATCTCTGCTTGGAACAGCTAAGGCACAAAAAGTTTTTAAAAGTGAATTCCAAATGAGCTAAACATCATGAAGTCTTTGACTCCAAAATAAAAGTTTAATCTTTCTAATATACTCAGGACATGTGATATAATATATGATACATATTGTTTTTAGATGGATAGGTAATTAAAGATGGTGTAGACAATTTTTTTAAAAAGCAAAGTAGCTAGTTATAGGTTCATTTGGTCTACAGTACAGGTTTATAAAACCTGAATAGCTAATAAAGACATGAATTAAAGTAGTCTATTTTAATGAGACTACTGAGTATATTTTTTGAAGTTACAGAGAATTAACAATAAATTAACATTTATTTACATTAATGTTAAATTTTACTTTGCATATATGACACATAGGTAACACAGATACAAATATGTAATTTACAAATATGTAATATTTCCCTTTTTCTTCATAAAATTAAAGGTATATACTGGTTTGCACATTCAGAAAAAAATAAGCAGAAATATCAAAGTAAAAAGAAAATGCTTGTAATTTATGAACAAGATATTTTTTCCAACTTTTTACATGGCTGAGCATTCATAGATACTTTTTATGTGTGCTCTCCACAGCTTTCTGGTGGCAACAGGCTCCATTTGTTAGTGTTTACCTCTTGCAAAGGAGCTGGATAAAAATCCAGACAGAGGCGGCAAATGTATGTACAACGATAGCCTCACTCTGCCTGTGAATGGCTCGTTCTTTTCTTACCAAGCTTCCACGTGCTCAGGTGAATGTCTGAATGGGTCTGATGTCCAGACTTTGCAGTCTACTGAGCCATTATTCATTATCCAAAATGAAACAGAATTTAATCTTCCCAAATTAGGGGAGTTCTTATATTCAAGTAACCACAGACTCTCCCAACTTAGTTTTAGACTTTTCTGTCATGAGTTTTGCTGTTTATCTGTTTAGCTAAATGTTGCTTCTTTATACTGAAAAGACTTACCTTTTCTATTATGAAACAGAGCTTATGGAAGAACATCTGCCCCTTAGCTCTGATATATGAATTGGTGACCGTGGGCTAACTCTAACTCTTTTACAAATTGAAACACTCCATCAATCTCTTTCTTCTAATTGTTTAAATTTATGTTAGCCTGGAACAGTAATTTACTTTTCTCCTTTTCAGAGGGGGAGGGAGGTAAGAATTTTTAGTTTTGAACAAGACACTGATTTTTCACACACTTATTTCTTGCATACATAGCCTGCTATTTTTGGTGTTGCATTTGATCTGATAATTGATGTATCTCAAAAAGAGCCATCTCTACAAACACAGATGTGTTTTATACCATCCAATATCAGTGCGTGTCTATTCCCTATATGACTCGGCTCATGAACACAGATCAAAATATGTTTGAACAAATCAGTCCTTATTACTACAGTTCCAGTTCACTGACAATAAATACAGAAGTTGATACTTCAATAATTCCGTCATTACAACTTGCCTCATGCGCCCTCTGCTGTTCTAAAAGAAGCTGGTAGTTTCCTGAAATTTCTGCAGCCAGTTTCTGCTCAGTTTGAACCAAGAACTCCATCCAGGTCTCACATTTTTCTAGGAAGGTCTGTTGCTGCAGCATGAAGGACTGTAGCTTACTGCAAGGGTAAAGAGTGATTCAATACATATCTGAAAAACAAACTTATGATGGTTTCTAAAATAATTCATACCTGACCTAAACAACATTACTGAATTCCTCATCTTGAATTTAAAAAAAATACATTGACTAAAAAGAAAACAAAGAAAACAAATTCAGTATAAACACACACATTTTGGGCTATCTATTTCTTTAATTTTTAAGTTAGTAAACCTGTTTGCCCCACTTAAAACTTTATTTTAATTCATAAAGAAAAAAAAATAACAAGAACTTTTATTTTGCAAAGCACACTCTGTTTTTAATTAATAGATTATTAAGTGTATACTCAATAAAGAGAACATTCTCTGGAGAAATTAAATAGCAGTAATAATTAAACACACATTTTTATTTGTCACTTCTATAAACTCTCCTTTTTACCAGCTTTTTCTTCCTTTCTCCCTTTGTCTGGGTTCATACATTATGTTAAGCCACAATGCGGCTTGTTTGCTTTTGGCTAAGCACATTGTATTAATGGAGCCATTGTAGCTTGTAATCTCTGGATTATGTTTTAGCAGAGTAACACAGCCAACTGTGGTTTATCCAGTAAAATATTTTAAAAGAAACCATAGTTGAGTGTAGGGATTAGACAATCTATTTGTGACAAGGACCACACTTCGTTTAAGGCACAGTAGTAATATGGTGAAATAATTAGAAGGAGCAGATCAAAAAGGTTAGGGCTGTTTATTTTTCACTGGGATTCTTTTCACAATAAATATAGTCTCCAGTTTAAGAACGAGTTCCGTTCCCAAGGTCTGTCCTTAAGCTGAATTTGAATGTAAGCTGGAGCAGTATTATTGTACAATACTGTATAAGTAGTATTGTGTAATGAACTCGGACCATTGCACATTTAACTCAAATCATTGTGTATTTAACTTGAATTTTGCTACAATAGGCTCCGTTCTTAACTATGAGTCATCTGTAACCTGGGCGTTCTTAACCAGGGGACTACCTGTATATGCCTTAAGATTACCAGATCTTAAAATGCTTTTTTTAAAAAATGTATTTTATAAGAACTAAAAAACCCTTAAAATTGCATTGCTGAAAATAGTGATTTATCAGTGCACTTCTGCAGCACAGTTTTGGGCACCCTGGGAACTGCAAAAATGGAGCAGCCCATGCTTGGTCTAGTACAAAATATGAATCCAGGCAGGGACTCTTCTTTCTTACTGCAATTTGGCTATCCAGACCTTTGTGGTATCATGGGTATTCCAAAGAGTATTCCCTGTCTTTTCTCTGTGCCTCTGCTAACTCAAAATCTCTGCCTGTCTAGCCATCAGCTTGCTTACTTCCCTTGCTGGGCGAGGAGAGAAGGCTTCTTTTCCTCTCCAGATGCCCAACAAAGGTAACTGACTGCTGAAGGAAAAACACTGGCCCTCCCTCTTTCCTGGGTATGCAGAACATGTACCAATAAAGGCAAAGACTTTCCCCCTTGTGCACTCTGATCCCAGAAGAAATGTGGCTGTTATCTTTTTCTCATCAGCTGAAAACTGATGAGATTTGTCTTACATTTTATTGCCTTTTAGCAACAACTTGTATTTTTATGTATTTTATCTGTTTTTAAAATATGCAATCATATTGGCTTTCTTTATATACTGTTCTCATATCTGTTGGATGGAAAATGGTGTCAAGGTAGATTCAAAGGCATTGTAAGCAAATCCTGGGGCAAAAGCACCAATTCTTCATGCTTCACATATACATATAAAATGCATGAACAAATTATTTGGCAGCTCATGGAAAGGGTTTACCCCACTACCTTCTAGCACTCCCTTCTAGCACTGAAGATGTTACCTAGTCGGGTAATGAAACGTTTGTAAGAAAACAACCAAGCTCAGAGAACCCCAAGGTCTCCACAGCTGATTAGCAGCAAAAGGTATAGATGATAATGTTCTTTCTCCCCATAATGTTCATACCTTGATGGCCTTATTCTGTTGTACGCAATTTTCCTACTGTGGCAAGGATTTTTCATTACTAGTGATCAGGAGGCTAGTAAGTACTAATTAAAGCCAAGAAAACAGGCAGGCAAGCAACTTTAATGAGACCAGAAACTGCAGAATCGTGAGATGCCCTGCTGGCTTCTTGATGACTGAAGAGATTATTCTGCAGATTCGAGGCCAGCAACACTCTCCTCTGGATAATTTTTACAGAGACACCCATCTCTTGTTTGAGCTATCTGACATTTTATATCTAATCTGCTTTACTTGTTTGTCTCATCTAATTGCCTTGGGAATGCCAACTGGCTTTTGAAAAGCAGGTATACAACAACAATCTTTCAGCCAGTCAAGTAGATACATCTAGATTGTAATAAGGTTCTTGGCAAGATAGCCTTAATATATTCTTAGTTTTGCTTCTGGACCTTTTTTTGATCCATAGTGTGGTAATTCTGCAGCGTCTTGCTTGAAAGCATATAATAGAATGAAGTAAATTTTTACATCTTTCTGAACTTTATGCAATTCTAGAAGTAGACTGAATATTAAGATTAGAACTGTTAGCCTGACAATTTTGCTTTATTAAAACTCTAATCTGTGTAAATTACACTGTTTTGTAAATATCCGACTTACCTGAATCTTTCAGTAGTTTGTGAAGAAATCACTGACCAACACCTATTCAGATTTTGCATCCTTTTGATTTCTTTATCGTTTAGGGGTAGCCTATACCCCAGCTCGTTCAGACGATCCAAATCTGGTGCCATGCTGCTGAACTTTAACATCTGGCACTGTAAAGTGATAGGAAACAATGTTTCTGAATAGTTCTAACTGCCATATTTGTAACTTGAAAACATTATTGTGAAATATTTATTTTATACTGGAATACAGTTTAGATGCTGGGGCCTATGTTACAATAATAAAACGTATTTTATTGTATTTTATTTTATGACTTATATAGCCACCTATATTGTAACCATTACCATGGGGAGCTCACAAGCCAAGCTTTGTTTAGGAGAAAAAAAGTAACAACTGTTCCCCTTTCATTTTTTTTTCCAAGAAGATTGATTAAAATGCCTGATATTACTTACACACGCACACAGAATGTTAATGTATTTTTTTATTAATAACACATTTGATCTCTCTCCAAGGAGTTCAGTGTAGCAAACATGAGACTATTGCTTGGAATACATCTCGAGAAAAAGTTTTGGGCTCTAACTGTGCTAATAAGGCTTCAACTTCATGCTTACTTGCTGGGAAAAAAAAGGTTAATATGGCTGATATGCTTCATGGACCTGAAATCAGCATTGTATACACCTGGGTGAAAGGCTGCCCAGGAAATCAGCAGTGGCCAACAGAGCACCACTGAATGTGACAGAGCCTGTTATTCTATGAGAATACTTACATACAAGTTAAATGCAATGCTAGTGGAGCTCTTACTGATCAGATCTCCATCACAAAAGGAGTTAAACATGTTTGTAATTCTTGCCCCAATACTACTTCTACGTTAATTGTATTGTTCAGCGTCTATTAAATAAAGTATTTCACCCCTATAGCTGGCACATAGGCCCACCCATGTATTATCATACTGCTATTCTTTCCCTGCCTTAACTAGGACTTCAGAAAAGCCTCCATGCATTGGCTAGCTTCTGTCACTGTGAAAACTTACAATAAATTATTCAGAAACAAAGGTGGTGATTCCTATGTGATGGAATGGAATTATGAAGGCCACACTCAGGGAGGCAAGCATCCTCTTTCGTCACCAGAAGGGCGAGGAAGAGATAAGAGGATGAGGTTGGCACCTCCCTGAGGAATTCACTCTGTTTTCAT